CAATTTTTGTGAACAAGGAAAGCTGTTTGGTTTCCCTCTCTCAGACAGGGAAATCATACGTTTCCCAAATTTTGCAAGTAAAAGTGTTGTTTCAAAAAGATGTACACGGAGTCCTCACATAATGTCATTGATAGGTTCTTGGAAACCACACCTTTAAGGGAAATGACATATGACAAAACCAAGTTTGACCACAGGCTAATTGATATAAACAAGATTAAGCTCCTAAGACATATTTCTGGTCCCCAAAACATCGCCACACTGCTAAAGACCAAAACACTTATAATATTAAACATTGAAATAAATGTGAGCTCTACATACATTAACTAAAGATTAATAAAAACAAGATAATTATTTACCTGCTCATTCCAGTTCAGGGTGGTGGTGGCCTCTCCAGGCAGCTCGGGGTGCAAGGCTGGAACCAGCCCTGGACAGGATGCCATCCCATCGCAGGGTGCACTCACACCCACACTCACTCACACCAGGGCCACGTGGGCACACCAATTCACCTAATAGCATAGCTTTGGGATGTGGGAGGAAACTGGAGTACTTGGAGAAAACCCATGCAGACGTGGGGAGAATGTGCAAACTCCACACAGACAGTGGCTCCGCCGGGAATCAATATTTTTTTCTCATCAACATTATAATGAAACAACACTGAACAAAACAAAATGGAGGACCTGCTGTACTTTGTTCTTGTCTTTGAATATACTTTGACATGAGCCCATAAACGTCTAGAATATGTGTATCTCAGATTGGGAAACTTGGTCTTCAGTACTTTAAATATCCAGCTATGATCTTCTTGCTCCATCAACAGTAATTCTGACTCATTCATCATTTGTTTCCATGCATCTAATCAGTCTCTTGTAGCCTGGGCAACAGGGAGAGACCCTTTCTCAATAAATAAATAAATAAATAATCAGTCTACAAGAACTGTTCTGCCTGTCTGCACGTGTTTTCTCAAAACTATCTTGTCATTTTTCCCCCAATTGTCCTACTCTAAGACTCCATTATCTAGAAAGAGCATAAATCCAGAGAGATAAGCTTTGGTATCAAATGTACCTGAGTTCAAGTCCTAGCTCCCCCAATTAATCAATATATAATCTGAATCAAGTTACTTAACTTCTCTGAGCTTTAGTTTTCTCATCTTTAAAAAAATATATAGTAAAAATATTTACCATCCAGCATCGTCCTAAGGGTTAATTCATTCATTCAATCAACATTTATTGAGCTGCTGCTTTCTGCTAAAATCTAGGCACCGAAACCACATTGGGGAGAACAAAGCCCCTGACTTATAAAGTTAACATTCTAGTGGTATTAAAGGGGATGATACCTGCCGCCTGGCATAACACAGGGGTGCAAGGAAATGACTGTCCTTGTTTGAGCTATTGTGGCAACCACTGTAATGACGTTCAGACTGGTCTTCCTACCTGTTGTCTCTCAGTTTTTCAATCCATCGTTCACCTGCCTGCAATGTTATCTTCCTAAAATATAGGTTGGCTCTTGTTTATACCTTCGAAGTTTCCTTGTTGTTGATTATATATAAAGTCCAAATTTCTGGCAGAAAGAATTAATAAAATTCAGTAGTCACTTGAGTTTAGGAATGAATAAAACAGAGTCAACCCTAAGGTTCTTACCCAAAGGCCTCCAGCTTCAGGAAATAGGAAGATAGCGTTATCACTAACTGAAAGAGGAAATCCAGAAAAAAGAACAGGTTTGGAAGTGGAAAATATAGCTAATTCTTCTTGGGACCTGTTGAGAGTGAGATTTCTTTGGAATATCTATGTAGAAATATCTAGTAGGCTGTTGAAAATATAAATCTGGAATGCAGGAGGGATACGAAGCCAGGTATAAGAATTTAGTAATTGACGATAGAACGATAATAGCTTAAGCTTCTAGAACAAATGTAACATTTTAGCTATGATGCTCTAAATTTAAAATAAAAATTATTAGCCTAGATTGCCAAAATCAGCACAATCTATCACCTTTCCTGAGGAAACAATTGATCAATCAATCCTTCTAAAGTTAATCAATATCTCCTTCAGAGACTTCTTTTTCATCCATCCTACACAAAATTCTTAGCATTTTTGGTTTGTACTAGCTCTTCTACCTCTTAAACATGTGGCCCACATAAAAGCAAAATCACATTTCATTCTTTAGACCTCACCTCTCTTAGATCATTGAGTTCCTGTGCTAGTTTCTCAGTAATGTTGTCTAGATTCCATTGTTTCTAGAGTAAAGACAAACTTAGTTAAATACTACAAAGGTAAGTAACTAAGCACATAAGTACTATAAACTCTCAGATCAAGGAGAAAATTTAGTAGGAAACTCCATTATATTATTTATTCAAAACTCAAATCCTCTTCTTGAAAAAGTATGCATGTTGTTCATGACCATGAACTTAACAGGGATGTAGTTCTATGAATAGAATGTGAAGAGGCTGAAATGACAAGACTTCCTTTCTTTAGGAAGCAATGGTAAAAAACAACAATTATTGGACCCAAATTTCATATGTATTTAGATCCGTAAGTCTCACTGATAATGAACTCTCCCAACTCAATAATTAATGCACTGGAAATTCTCTAGGTAGCCTATGATTTGGATATTTTATGGGCTATTATGTCAAGGATCCATGTCAGACAGCATGCATACGCAATGCTCTACAGAAAAATTATTATCACAAACAAAACTGGTGTTTTTAATGTACTTTTAGAGTAAGTAAGATTAGGAAAAATTATATCACCATTTCTAATTGCCTTATATTTTGAAAGTGAAATATGCCTTCATTTTTATTTGCCAATAGAGTAGATCTTTTAATAGAGCTATTATCCTTTTTAAAAATAAGTGATACACATTTCTTACTTTTGGGATATACATCATAATGTTTTCTAGCTTACGTTTCAGGTAGCTTTTAATTACTATATTAATCAGTAATCTACCTTTCAATTACAAAATTTTAAATATACATTGTTCTTAAAGGACACACATTGTGTTGATCATTCTGTATAACATACATACATGCTCTCTCTCTCTGTCTCTCTCTTTTTAAAGGGATCCTTATCCCCCAAATTCCCGTGGAGTACAATGTCTTACTCAGTGATGGAAGTGTAACATTTCTGGTCTTCTCTGTTGGTCATCTTCAGTCTACCCTTCTGGAAAATTTGACTCCATTCACACAGTATGAGATAAGGATACAAGCATGTCAAAATGGTAAAAGTCTTTCAGACACTTGGCTTGGGCTTTTATGAAAAAGTATTTCATAAAAAAAAAAAATTTCATTAAAAAGGAATAGATTCTCAGTTCAAATACAAAGACTAACATTTCATTTCTTATTTGTAGTGGACTGTTTACCCAGAAAAATCAGAGCCTGGCATCAAATGAAGCATTATGCATTTCTGCACATTAAATCATGAATATTTAAATATATTAAAATGGTGGTTTTGCAAAGTCTTGTTTTATAAGGCCCTTTAAAAGAAAAACACCTAGCTCACATAAAGGAGTCATTGGTAATATAAAACAAAATGAGTATT